TCTTGAGTGGAAACACAGCCGAGGCAGATTAACATTGGAGCACCCACTTTGACCCGCCGCTGGAGACAGGCGCGACAGCCAGTGCTGCGCGGTACGCCAACCATTCTTCGCTACTGCTTGTCAGGAGGGAGGCATGAAATGAATACGATGATACTGAGGACGCGAGACAGAGTGATAGGCTTGTTGAGGTGCACAAGCCCTCGCACCTTGAGAGAAACGGGGAACATCCGACGAGCCGCCCACCTTCATCCGATGACCCTCGTATATCGGAAGGTATTATCGCACGCCAAGAGACGCCCGCCCAACTACAGGATCAGGAGATGGATATGCATCTTATGCATGATTCCTGGGAGGAACACACTAAGATTTGTGAGAGAAGGCGTTAGTCCGCCACTACGTGTGTGCCGGATTTTAGTCCTAATCAGGATCTAATCGATTGTGTACAAAGGGGGAAACAAACGAGTCAGTGAGTAGGACAGACCGTTATATGGAATCCTATTTTACGTATCCCCAACAGGCATCTTATTAAATTCAAAATCACGATGATGGCCTTGAAGATCAGAACGCAAGGTAAGTGACTTGCAAACTTGCGATCTCTTCCCCTCGTGTCTTCCGATCTCCAGTGCGGTTTAAAATCGGGTTCCAGACTCGACGAACCACGGAACGCCGAGCAGTAATGAAATTGCAATGAAATCATGGGCCCACTAGCGAAAGGCAAGGACCTGATTGGGTGTCAGGCTTCTCGTACTTTGGGATCTTGCGGGTAGCTGCAAAGGGCCCTTCGCTCTCATAGCTTGTTCTAGAATGTTTAAGCTGCTTAAGTGCCGTGTGCTCAGTCCGTGCACACAAACAGGGTTTAGAGTCGCATTTGCCAACGCAGCAACGGCTCTTGCCCTTTTAAGGATGTGATGCATCGATCCATTTAGGGGGTTGTGGAGCTAGCAAGGGTCAATAACTTCGCTATGCGCAAGATTCGTGCATTGAGAAAGACGCCCCCCCAACCGCCACATGGAATCAGGAGAAACGGCTCAGTCCGATCCCTACAGATGCTCGGGACTCTTTTCCATGGCCTTTCGTGGACCACATGAGCCTGAAGAATTTCGACCACGGTGACGTGGCGTGATTGGAATTGCTGACAGCGGGTAGTGGAGGTGGTGCCGACCCTGGGAGGCAATTTTTCTCTATTACCTAACCCTTGTTATGCTATAATACTTTTACCGAATTTATATCAATAGATATCCAGTCTCTCATTTATGCAACCCAACCAGACGTGGCAAAACGGTTGCCTTTGTGTCTCCCTTTTCGATACAAAGAATGGGGATGCAGTTATGCCCTAATCGAGGGGACATTGAGAGTGAGAGGGGGGGGAAAGGGAATCAAAAAAAAAAAAAAGGACAAAACGCCTGAACACAAGAAAAATGGCAAAAGATCCGACCAGTGGATCCACTGGACCTCGAACCAACCAGTTAACCGATCACTTGGACGGTCACTAATGCCGACTAACAAGCGGCTAAAGCTGTTGGCCTCCCAAAGAAGCCACAAGACCTCCTCGATCGACGGTCGCGGCACATTGTTGGTGCATCCGTGCAAATGCGAACTAACGAGTGACGGGCGTAAATATTACGATGAAATGGATTGAATAGTATCTGGAGCCGAACGGAGACTTTATACTTTGCTTCGCGAAACCTGGCCAGCTGTTTGAGACACCGCAAATCTTTCAACGGCGGTCCCGCTATGAGTTGCCCGTCGACGGGGGTCTGACTTAAGGGTCGCTGCGATTGGGACCACATTTCCTCGTTCTTCAGGACCTTTTCCTCCCCTTTCCTGCCGGTTTTCCCTTCTCCTTCCCCGTTTAATATTTTCCTTTCCTTTACCGCTATTAATACTATTGTTCTTATAATTAGCTAGTAGTAGGGCGGTATTAGGTTTTTTTTTTTTTTTTTTTTTTTTTTTTTTTTTTTTTTTTTTTTTTTTTTTTTTTTTTTTTTTTTTTTTTTCCCCAGATTATTCTGGTTTCTATCCCTACTATTTCACGATCACCCACTTGTTCCTTCTCCCTGAAGTTGTCCTCGTGTTGCTTGCTGCCGTTCCCCAGTTCTTGGGCAAGAATGGCATCCCCGTAGCGAAACACACCACCGAAACGCCCCCGGGAGGAAACTCCACTGGAGAGCATACCACAACAAGTTGAACCTGAACCTCTGGCTCAACCTCAACCAGAACCGCAACCAGAAATACCGCAGGGACATATACAGGGCGTCATTGAACCCGATGTTGATTTTTGTTCTCTTCTTAATACCGGAAGGAGGATCCAACTAACTGGACATACTAGACCTTCTCGGATGGTGGCGACGGTGATTCCTTATATGCGGGATCGTAAGTGGCAGAGTTCCATCTCGCCCAAATCCACTGGCTGACAATCATAGACTGGGAGATGCCAGTTATACCACCAGTATCACTTCAAGTGCTATGAACTATCAGTATGTAACAGATTCGCAGTTCTATTGGGATGTGGTTGCTAATAGTACAGATATGAGGTATTTCTTGGCTGAACCGCGATATTGCGGCTGTTACTAAGTGTATCTTATAGAATGGTCGCAGATATCATTCGTATCATGAGGGTGAATACATTCTGGTGAGTGTCTCGTTGCTAGATTTGAGAACCCTACTAACTGAGATAGCCTAATGATGAACAAGAACAAGACCGTCTGGACTTGGTTGGTTGCGCCTAGTGAAACCATTGGTGAACGATAGAATGGCTGAACTAACAAGAACAGAGTCACCACATCTATCGGATGGTTTTGAAGGGAGAGCTGCACGCAGCCCCCATCAAGAACCCTGCTCGGGTCCTGGATATTGGTACCGGAACTGGAATCTGGGCTATCGATTTTGCAGAGTAAGTCCGACCGGACATGAGAGTCAGTGGCCGAGTACTGACGATATCAGCGAACATCCTGAATCTGAAGTGATTGGTAGGTATCTGTTTTGTTTACAAAGAAAGTCTGATTTGACTGGTCGGCTCAGGAAATGATCTCAGTCCTATTCAACCGTCCTGGTATGATCGATGTGTCCCGGTCTATCGAACGTTGCTAAATGATTAGGATCCCTCCTAACCTCCGCTTCGAGGTGGATGACTTCGAAGCGCCCTGGTCTTACAGCCAGCCTTTCGACTACATTCATGGCCGCGAACTAGAAGGCTTCATCCGTGATCATAACCGTCTTTTCGAACAAGCCCTAGAGAACCTGAAGCCTGGTGGTTGGATGGAAATTGCCTCGATCGAAGTCAACTGTTTCTCCGACGACGAAACACATCTCAAAGCAGAGTCTATGATGCACGGAGTCAAGCACATGCACCTGAGTGCTAAGATGTTTGGCAAGGATTTCGACACTGTGAAGAATTGGCGGTCGCAGATGGAAAACGCCGGCTTCGTCAATGCTCGCGAGGACGTTTACAAGGTACATAGATTTCTGCCCTAGTCCATGCACAAAGAAATGCTAACGGCAACAGCTCCCTCAAAGCCCCTGGCCCAAAGACCCCAAGCTCAAGGAGCTCGGTCGTTACCACCAAGTCAACATGATCGAAGCCATGCCGCCTTATTGTTACGCGCTGTTTACGCGGCAGCTTGGTTGGGAACGCGTCGAGATTGAGGCGCTGTTGGCAGGTATGCGGAAGGAATTGCGCGATACGTCCCTCCATCTGTACTCGCGACTGCATATCGTTTATGGGCAGAGGGCGCTGTGACCGCCTACTGATGATCGATAAATAATAAAATTGCATCTATGCGTTGGGGTTGTCAAGCATTCTGAGCGAATTATTGCATGTGTCCTGCTTGCCGTGGAGCATAGGACGTTTGGTTTTCTATACGAATTTTTATTTCTTTTCTCTATACTCGAAGCTGGATTGCTGTACGTCATAATTGTGAAGTTCATGGGAGACTCGAGAGCGAGTCGGTCATTACATCTTGTGAAGGCATGGGACAACTGCTCTCTGTCCCTTCTACATTGGTTTACTAGAATCGGTTTTATGGTGAGCCAATGAACCGCCTTGGCGATCTTCTCCCATGTCAACAGTCGGGATAAACTTTCATTGTTGGAAATCTACTGTCAGGGTTTAGGAGCCTTGTGTTCCCGACTAAAGCTATCGGATGCTTTCTTTGTGTGACCCGACCCTGGCTGTTTGAAATACCCGAAGTACTCGATATAGGATTCAAAGTGGAAGGTTTAGTGGACTCAGAGTCCACGCTATACCCCGTCTGTCAAGCATTGCCAACAGTTTCATTGTCAACCCGACGGTGATACATTTCCATCCCACTTTTCACGGCACGGCAACTTATATAGCCAATGGAAAGAGCCCCACTGAAGGCGATTCTTTTCTACCAGATGAAATTTAGCGTATCACTATTCGTGCCCAAGGTCCCCGATGCTACTATGTACATTGTTTCTCCTCTCGGTGACGTAGGTCTCAAAGGAACCCCTGCCTTGGCGGGCTGAATAGTAGAGCTACTAACACCAAGATGAAAGCATCTGAAGCCCACTCAACCTTTGATCCTCATGGTGTAATATCGGGCTTTGTGACTGGACACAGCGATGGGTGGCCTAACATCTTTATGGTGGTGTACTCTACACTGATGCAAATCCCGTTAGGTTCAGTATAAGTGCATATCGCGATAACAGACGCCTGAGATTAGCGTCCGGACTGACGGCCTCGGGACGGGACACTTTGACTCTATCTCCATGCTTACAGTTAAGTCCAGACTGTTACATATTGACCCGAATTGTATACTCCCGATCCCGTCTCTACGGACCGTTGGTTATACATACTACTAGTTCGTACGACGCAACTTCTACAAATGAGAACAACGGCACCTATTTCCAATCATGGTTAGGGCTGAGATCTAGCTCATCTTCCACTGGAAAAATTATATGTAACTGTATCCCTCTAGCTGGTCTTCAGGCGTCCCGATCGGATCGTGTTCCCCAAAATAGGCAACAGTATGACGTAACCGCCCCCTACACTAACGTAACCGGTAAGCGATCCGTACCTGTAAGCCAGCCGCACCCCTCTGATTTCCATACAAAATCGTCTATTTTCAAACAACAATATCTCGACCAATCCAGCTTCTATCTACTTGAAAGTTTATATACAACTTATTATATACTAGAATGATAATATACTAAGCTAAAAGATTGCTTTAGCTTTCACTTACTGAATAAAGATATATTATAGTATATCTTATAATATATAGTTAGGATTTATGTGTTCTAAGACCTCTTTTTTGGTTTAAATTCAATAAATTCTTAAAGAATACCAGTATTAATATGATAGTCTAAATTTAACCTAATATATCTAATAATGGTTGAGATATTGTTATTTGAAAATAGACGATTTTGTATGGAAATCAGAGGGGTGTGGCTGGCTTACAGGTACGGATCGCTTACCGGTTACGTTAGTGTAGGGGGCGGTTAGGTACCCTGTGATTACGTGATATAAGACGTCGATAACGTAAACCACTACCGAGCGGCCACCACCCCCGAGTGGCCACCTCCGCTCCGATTTTCGCCTTCAGGTGGACATTAAGGGCCTTTATCAACAAAACAACTTGATTTCTATATAAAAATTAATCAAAAGCTCGATTAGAGCATTGCAGTCACTTGTGCCCTAGAATATGACAGTCACTACAGCGTGGTGGCGCCCGTACACGCGGTTTAACTGAGGATAACGCTGGATCTATAGATGTAGTATCTTGAGCTTCATCGGACCTATTCTCACACTGGAATTGTTCTAGACCTTCCTGAGTAGTAAAGCCTTCTGCAGTAGCTAGCTGCCTAGTAGAGTACTTTTGCTTTTGAAGCTACCATTCATTAGAAGCACATAAAGTACATATTTCTTCACGCGCGAGGACTACTTTATTTAAAGCTAACTCATGTCCTTTAATAATCTTGTCTAATCGCGCTTCTAGTGAAGATGGTGGGCTCTGTATATGTGCTTTAAGAAGCCGTTTCACAGTCGATGCTTGCTTTTCCAGCTGCTTAATTATATAAGGCGTTTTGGGTATTGAATTGGTTGATCGACTATCTGATGGTGTAGGGGTCTTTAGTTGAATATTCAACTGGCTAAGAACCCTATCTGGATTTAATGGAATTAGACCAGCACCTGCAAAGCTATTTCGGATAGTCTCTGCTTTGAACGCAATTGTACGAGCTTCAGGAAAGATCTTGAAAAAGTCAAGTTTATCAATATAATTGTGACCTGTCCGTATTTTCTCTGCTATTAAACCTCCATATGTATCTTTTAGAGGTTTAAAACAGCCTACATCTAAAGGCTGTAGTTTGTGCGAGGAATGTACGGGTATGCAGATAGGAATAATATTATTCTCATTACATATTTGGTCAAATTGAGGTGTAAGATGGCTGCCATGGCTATCAAGAATAAGTAGACGGTATTTCCCAGTTGTACAGCCAGTAGTAGCGGGAATAAAGAGATTTTTAAGCCAGCGAAGACTTATCTCATCAGTAGTCTATCTATTAGGACTAACCTCGATTCTCCAATCACGGGGAATTGTTGAATCTTGATACCAACCCTCTATATGGACTTTCCCTTTGAAAATAACACACGGGGGAAGTGCCCATCCAGTAGAGTTGATATACTCAATAGAAGTAACCCATTCCCGATTACCTGGCTGTACAATCAGGGCTTTTCCATAATAATTAGCTCTAGTAACTACTCGAGCAGTAGCTACTAGACCCATAGCAAAACCAGTTTCATCGAAATTATAGATATCTTCCAATGCAATACCATATTGTATTATAGTGATTTGTACACAGTTAAACTACTCTTTAATAGTCTTAGGATCTTCGCATTTAGCTCGCCGGTAGTCATATCGTCTGGAATAGTAAGTTTTGATTTCAGGTCGACGCTTGATAAATTTATATACCCAGTTCTCGCCCACTGATTGAATGGGTATAGTACCGCGCGCAGAAAGTAGAATATTGGCCATTTCTCGTATATAGGAGGGTCGGGGAGGTGCTCCACGTCGACCTAGTGATAGAATCCATTGTACAAGCGATTCCTCCTCATTCTGAGTTAATTTATGACTATTGGCGCGTGTTTCAGCTCGAAAAGTATGCCCATTCAATCGTCTTCGGAGAGTTGTACGAGGAATATTATAAACGCGTGCTGCTTCAGCAATATTGCAGATTTCTTGCCTTTTTAAAGCGGAAATAGCGAGTAGAATCCTTCCCTCCTGCTCAGATGAGTTTCTTAGATTTTGACGCGCTTTTGGTGGCATGGTTGGTGGTTGAATTGGGTAGATTATTGATTGTGGTCAAAAAAGTGATGAGGTGGCCACTCGGGGGTGGTGGCCGCTCGGTAGTGGTTTACGTTATCCGACGACACGGTTAGCTGACAGCCATTACTAGCTAAAGTCACGTGACAGGCTAAATGGTATACAAGCGATCACCGGGAAGTATACAATTCAGTATAACTTATCGTATACCACGCGTATACCAACGGTATACCAACCAATATATCGAGATGCTCCAGGGAAGGATATATAAGGACACTCATTCATGTACTTAGTTTAATTCTTCGTGATCAATCTACTCAGTTACTTGATAGCCACATTCTACATTGTTACCAGCTCAACTCGTTCGCACTATCTAACAATTGAGTATACGTACTCAATTGGCCTGGCCTTTCATCCCTGGACTATTTCGTATAAGTACTACATCGTTATCGCTATTGGTTGCTCGGACCACATCGGGTCACTCGTCGTCGTCGGTCACTAGTGGATTCTAGTCATCGAGGTAAGTCGCCTCTAACCAAGATAGCTAACTGGTCGCAGAGTCCTTGGACGAATACCCGGGCGTAACATTCAGGTTTTTTTTTTTCCAGCACTCCACCGATAAACCAGGGAATTCTTGATAGATTAATGCCCATTTTGTTGAACAATTTGCCCAATAGATACTCTTCAGAGATAATGACCTACTAAACAGTATCCCGCACTTTCTACAGGCTGATGCCACGGTGCCACCTATTGTCCAGTTGTGGCCTGAATACCTGCTAAGTGGGGGTTGACAGGTTTTCATGATCAGATCAAGATTTCAGCTTTTGTTAGGCTAGCGGGTGGGTGCACTGTCGACGCGACATCTGTTCTTCTTGCTACACGTGACGTGGCCCCGCATCATTACCAGGCATCTTTGCAGGAAGTGCCATGGGCCGTTCATTTGCCCTCTTCAGTTTGGATGTCATATACTGTTAACAGGCGGATCATTGTTTGAAGATATAGACCGATTTACTGATGCTCCCATAGAATATATTGAAAGAATTAGGACCCTCCATGCCCGACAGCTTGGTGGAAAAGAAAATCTGATTCATGGCTGGGATGAGAACATACCTGGACGAATTTATATTGTCCATAATCAGAATAAGCTTTCGCGCTCTGATAAGCACGGCGCTGTGGATTCTGGAAAGAGAAGTCGGTGTGGCTCCGCTAGACGAATGAACCGACCGCCACACCCGCCCATTGTGCTTTTTCCCCCTGGCCTAAGTTGATTACAGGCACAAAAATACCTTCTGGTTTGAAGCCAGACAGTTCCATAAAAGTTCCGGACCAAAATGTCTTGGCTCAGTAATTCAACCAAAATCAGAGACAGATTCGTATTCTCCGCTCAACTCCGCCAAATCTAACGAGTTCCTCCCCGAAATATACTGGCTACGCACTTATTCATCCTTTACTTAACATGCCAAATTCCTCGGATGAAATACCCCACAGCGGTGTTGCTCCTCGGCTATCTTCGCAACAGACTCTACCAACTCTTGAAGAAGTGCTGAACAAGATCGCTCCTTTCCCTTATACTCTCGACTCTTTGGTGGACTTCGTGTCTCAGAACAACCACCTCGAGCCACTCGAGTTCATATTGGAAGCTAGAAAATATAAGAGAAGCTATTGCATAGTTTTCCAGCAGAGTAGGGAGTTGAGACCGCGGCATTTAACTTCGGTTTGGCAGCGCTTGGTCTCCATCTACATCTCCCCTGCCACTAGACCTCGCCAAATCGCGGGTTGGATTTCCACCCTTGACCAAAAACCCGCCAAGAGAAGTAAATAACGGTAATATATACACATATAACACATCTGCACATATCGATGTCAGGATCTTTCATATATATTTGTAAAATACGGAGCTCTGGGTTCTTGGCGGGTTTGCGGGTAACCCATGAGTACCCAAAAAAGCAATATGGCGAGGTCTACCTGCCACTGTCTAAGCTGTATCACGTGACCCCCATTTTGAGGTTCAACAATCCATGGGATTGAAACAAGGCAATGACGTGGAGACTCGACTGTCCTAGTATAATCCATCAAACAATATCTGTCAATATATTGTGGTGGCAATTTTATAAAGTGCAATTTCGTAAATGCGCCGTTCTTTGTTCTTAACAAATAAATACATATGTGCCCCGCATTTAACAATGGAATCAGGACGGGATAAGGAATCCGATTTCCAGGTCGGAAAACATCTCTCATCATCATCTTAATATGCAACCCTCAGCTAATATATTGTCAGGCCCTCTCCGAGGATGAGAAGCGCTGCCTACGCATGTACGGAAGGCTGCCTTATGGGGGAGGATTGCTCGGGCAACAGTCTAAGGCATGTTTACAAGGCACTGACCCACGCTAGCTACTGACGAGCAAAAGGAACGGAGGTACTTTGACTCGGGTGATTTGGCTCTCTTTGCAGCTGACAGAGTGACGGATAACGGTGCAATTCAAACTGGCGCAGCCCATCCTATACGTGAGAGCATTTCGCGTCCTTATGCTCCGGTTCCCAACACAAGCAATGCCGACAAAGATGCCAACAGGGAATTGAGTGGCAATAAAAGCCCAACTCCTGAAATGATAGATAGTCCCCTGCATCAGCAACTCAATAGCAGGAATAAGGAGATGTAGAAACCAAAGGCATTTCAGTATGAATCAGACTTCTGATATTTCACAAAAAGGTTCACAAAGACTTGCTAGTCCAGCTCGAGGGTAGGAGGGAAACCTATCGTTTTCTGTCGGACATGATTGATGCCCTTTTACTTCATAATGATTTAGCACGAGCGTTCATATCTTTGGCTTCTTACGCTCCGAAACTGGCACAGTTTGCCACCATTTTCTGTAGCATATATCCGGACTTTGGCTAGTTCAGATTACTATCTTCTCCGACTTCTTAGAATACCAGTAGACTAAAATTCCAACGAAAGATTAAAACAATTTGATTGCTATAGTATTGGTAGAGGTACTCAAAACAAGGACCATGTTTCACTGGATATTAACTTGCCATACCCAATTGAATGCGGAAAGATACGACATTACCTAAATACCCCAGAAGACGATGTATTCTTCACAATGCGGTCAGCCTCTAAAACATCCCTTCCATGCCTCAAAATCATAAGCTCCAAAGTAGCCTGTAAGTTTTTCTCACTAACGAGGGTCCGCTCAGGGAATGGACTAGATGGGCTGGTACGTTCCCAGAGGACCGAAAAGCCGTCGAGACTCTGTTTTTATGCGTCTTCCTCTGTACCAACATGTCTGCTGACAATTTCAAAAAGTTCCTTGTAAGAAAGGCTCTCGCTGACAATAATGGGTGTCATAACTGCTCCGATTCGTAACATAACAGGTATGCTGCTGGACATCTCGACGCAGAACTTTAATATTAAAGTGGAGAGTGGATACGTAGTGGAACCAAGGAGACTGGTCACGTGTGTCTTGGTGCAATGTTACCTTTCCTAATCATTCAAGGCATCTAAAATGTCATGGAATGTTAGAGAGCTATTCTGTGAACCCAGCAGAATTTATAGTCACATATTCCGTCGGGGTTCTTGTTGTCTAATGATATGGGTATGAACTAACTATTGCATCATAGCACTGAACCTAAAATCTCTTTCTATTTAAACTTTTACTATCAGGAAAATAGATAATGACTAGACCCAGGAGTGCTACTGCATGCAGACTCTCATCAGCCTCGGGCATCCTTGGAACGCAAATCTCATTGACTTGTTGAATTTCCTCTTAGATATCAAGAAGCGTACTAGTCTCTTTCTACGGTTGTCCTACCTACCCCACAACTGAAAATAGCTCGGCTGAAAGGGGGTTTTCGGCACATATTACGCTCGATGCGTCTGATTCTCTGCGACATATTATTGCCCCCTCCCTCCTCTCTGTTTACTGATCTTGTTCTATTCCACTGATTGTTCTTTATCAAAATTATGCAAATACTAAACAGTGCCATTGGAGATGCAGATCGCATGAGATAGTAGAATAATTCTGCAAACTGGGCCTGCAGTAGCGAATCAAGCATGTCTTTACAACCAGCAGAGTAGAACGAGTGAGAGTATCTTCTCATCAATATCCAGAGTCTACCTCCGTAATTATTCTTATCGTCGGCGCCACTGGTAATACCGGTCGAGCAGTCACTCAAACGTTGCCAAAGCTGCTTCAATCAAGCAGCACATTACTTGGGAATCGTATCATTACTCTGACTCGTTCCTCCAGTAGTCCAGTTACACAAGAACTCGCCAAGCTTCCTGGGGTCGAGGTTATTGAGCAAAACTAGGTTGATATCACTGCTGACTGGCTCCGGGAGCACCATGTTGCTAGAGCCTTTATTGCATCCCATAATGGACCTAACCAATTTGCCGAGGAGTCAACCTTCCATCTCAATGCCTTCAATGCTGGCGTCAAGTATGTCGTGCGTATCTCGACTACGGCTGCGAATGTACGCCCAGACTGCCTTGCCTACTATCACGCCAACACTGGGCCATCGAGGCTCTCCTGGGCTCACCGGATTTTAACAAATTGCAATGGACGTCTCTTCAGCCAAACGTCTTCTCTCCACTTGTCATGTCGCCTGCTGCGGAGTTTATTAGAGGGTATCGCAAGACTGGAAAGCAGAACATCCTTTGCCTGTTGCTGTCAGAGGATGCACCTGTTGGAATAATCGACCCTGACGAAGTTGGTGTTATTGCAGCTCATCTCTTGTCTCAAGATGACACTTCAGTGCACAACCACGCTAAATACATTCTAAATGGACCCGAGGACATAAATGGAAGGCAGATTGTCGACATGGTTGAGCAATACATTGGTGCGCCCGTCAAAGACGTTAGTTACAAATCACAGCGGCCAATCAAAAAATCAAAAAAAAAAAAAAAAAAAAAAAAAAAAACAAAACCTTCAGGAGCTACTAGCCATCAGGCTTGCGCCCTGTATGGCGACGGAAGGGCACAGGAGCGGGATCGTTCCCTGCAGCTAGTCCCCCCCCTCCCAGGCAGACAGCCTATCTATTTTCGATGTCGATGACGCGTCCGACTAACGGCACTGCCTCATACAATGTCTACTGGTCGACATCGCACCGCGCAGCCGACTGTGGGACCCCTGGCTCTAGACCTGAGAAATCCGTGCGAACTCCGTATCTCGAGGCGTTGTTGGAAGAGCTCATTGGCGGCGAGACATCTAGCATTCGCTCGCATGCGATGGTTGAGTTTGGACTGTATTGGAATTCGAGGGACCTTCCACGGATCTGCCGGAGTTCCATCGGTCGCCCGGCCGTCTGGAGACCTTCGTTGGGGCCCAAAAGCCCTGCTATAAAGCTGGCTCTGTCTTTGTGCCGAAAGCTGAGCGAACTATCGACCATGGTCTCTTTAATCGCTTCCCATTGCTCTGCCAAATCTATCCTCCATCCCTCCATGATGACCCAACCAGCGCCCAGAAGGGCTTTGGTAGATCTGGACAATATCGAGTTCTACCGGCCCCAGTCCTTAAAATCTCCACGGTCAGAATCGGCTCTTCTTATCCCGCCGATTCTGCCACCCCTCTCTATCCTCCCAGGTGGGACTGCCCGCAAAACCCTGCCTCGCGGCGATGGCGCCCTGCCTTTTGACCATCCTTATGGGTTGGATTCTTCATGCAGTCCTGCGTCGCTCAATACATTTGACGTCGATTTGGCCAGGTGCGCCAACGCAGCATCGCTGGCGACAGGTTCCCATACGGTCAACGAATTCACGCAGGGACAAACCGGCAACGAGACCTTTGATGCCTCCTCTTTCTGTACGTCTCGACTTTGGGGGATTGGTATTATGTATTTGGTCGTTTTGCTAATGTTCGCACTGCAGCCCTGGCTTCGTCTCCCTCTCTCTCCAGCCTCCCAAAAACAACGGATCTGCCTGGCCCCTTTGGAAATACAACAAGTCGAGAGGGGATTAGGGTCTCTACAGAACCCGACAGTCATTTATGCTTTCCATCTCCGGACTTACAGGAGCGGGATCAGCCCAGAGGTAAGGGCTTTCGCTAAGCACTCCCCCTTTTGTACAACGTTCTGATCAAATCTCACAGACATACAGCCTTGCGGCTCACATGACGAGCCCAGCGTAAGCCACGGGCGCTGTTCGAATATCCCGCACCACGATAACCACAGCATAAGTATGTGCGGGATTCCCCCGTCCCCCCATATAGCACAGAACGATGTAGCCAACAAGCCTCTCGGGGAGCAAGAAAACGATCGGGTTGCTTTGGGCGATGGCCCACTGCAGCTGAAGCAAAATATCTCCATGCCAGCCTTGAGTCAGGGGGACCCCCTTCTAAACGATCAACGACTGCCTTCGATCGGTGTGGTGGACTCTGGCCCAGAATACCAACACCATTCAGACTCAGGGAGTTCCCTTTCCGAGGAGTCAAAGAAAGTATCAGTTCGCCAGAACCCCCAGTCCAGAGCCCCCATCCACAATCACAAAGCCGCCCCAGCGAAAGTCCTTCGAACTTGCCCAGGCACGGATGGTTGGAGGGAGAAATCGACCACGCCGCAACTGCCAACCGGGCTTTGATGTTGTTCAGCGTGACCGCCATCCTGACTACTCTGACCAGGAAGAGAGCCCGCGTCTCACGAAGAGACGCAAACGTGCAACTCGACATGTGGGAACATTGACCAGCCGTACATCTTCTGGACCTTCCGGGAAGTTGCTTCGTAGCTCAGCGTCCGCGCAGTCAGCAAAGTCTTACGGCAGTCAAGATAATTTTCGGCATGCCATCCTTACTGTTGAGACTCACGCGTTGGGGACCTCGTATTCTTTTCTCTTTCGAGCCAAACTCATCAAATGAGCTCGGCGCACCGCAATTTCGGTTCGCTCTTGACGAGCCGCGCCACCTGACGGCCCCTTCATCCACGAGTGGGTCGAAAAATGTTCCAAGATCCAAGAAGGGAAGATGTCCCTCGAGAAACGATATCCACACACCAGTGATATTCACCCCCATCGACGAGCGAGAATGGGAAGCGGAGCAAATCTTGGCGTCACGGATCTGGATGGGAAAGCTGCAATATCAGGCTCAGTGGAAAGGGTGTGATTTTGGTCCGACCTGGTATCCAGCACGCGGGTTCAAGGGTGCTCCGTATAAGATTCAGAACTTTCATGGAGTGTTTCCGGATCAACCTGGTCCCCCCAAGAGGTTGATGGAATGGCTAGAAGGTTGGGAGGCTGGACGAGAACTTGAGGATGTCCCAGATGATGACCTTCCAGAGTAACATGTACCGTGGGATACCATAAATGTATAATTTAGAAGCTATTATGCTTTGAACGCGCCTCTGAAAGCAGCGGAATCATCCGCACTACTTCCCGCGGCGATGAGCACACTTCACGTTACTCCGCGCTCAGTTTATGTCCTAGTCCTTGGAAGTCCGCCTGCAGCTTGTTTCGTTTCTGTTTCAAGCGGCGCTAGGTTGCTGCATGCATGATTTTGAACCTGATTCCCAAATTACTACTGCTCCTGCGTTAGAGGTCGATGCGTGCAACGAGGACGAATGGGAGGTGGAGGAGATTGTGGCTTCATGCGTGCTCCATGACAAGCTCCAGTGCCTGGTGCAATGGAAAGGCTGTGAATCTGACGCGGCCCGGTATGCTGCGCACGGGTTCAAGGTTGCCCCATACGAGGTCCGAACGTTCCATGAAACGTTCCCAGACCAACCTGGATCCCCAATACGACCAAAGGGATGGATACAACGCTGGGAATCGGGACAGGAGTGCCCGGATAATCCCGACGATGATTTACCTAATTAGTATTTGCCATCCCAAATATCACAGACTGCCAGTCTTTTTTGCTGTTCGTTCCACGGACAAAGCTCGTCTGGAATGTTAGCGCGGCTAGCCCTCTGCGCCTTACCTTATTCTACCCGTATTGATATAATAAAAAGCCCCAATCGATGCACGGACGAGTGTAAACCAGACTAGGTTTAGTGATATTTCTTACTCAGAATGCATTGTTAGAGGATAATTAAAAGTACTCTAAGCACACGTTTCACCGCAGCTATACTTGTCATTCCACTCATTGCCAGGGTGAATCCGCTATGCAGCCCATTCCCGGCCCATAGTTCAACATCTAAGCCTTTCTATAGTTTAATTCTGGTGGATGTACAATTGCTAATATTGGCGGCCTAGCCAAGAGATCTCTCTGTGGAGGACATTATTTAAGAATACAGAAATAACCATTTAAAGGCCTAGGGCTCCCTTAGCTTTCTTAATGTAGGTAAAACAGATTATCAAGCACCTGTAATACCCCTTTTAGACTCTACCAGTTATTGGTGCTTCTAATATTATTACACATTTGGACAATCAAGACTCTATTAGTATTTCTACTTATTTACTCGATTTACGTATCCCTGTCCTAAAACTAATTAATATTATATACCTGATTGCAAAAGTGGCGCAACTGTTACGCACATGCCCTCCTTTCCGAAACCCTGATCACGGGTTCCACTACGATTCCTTCAGTAGGATATTTCGAAACCACAATACAAGTTTTGTACCTTTCTGCAGCCAGAGTCCAGCCGAATAGTGTCTAGTGGATCCTGAGCAGAACCCAGGTGCTCCTCCAACAGCGCAACGGTCAAGGCGAGACTCCGTTGAATGTTCTACTGATAAATCTCGAAGAAAGGACAACTCATCGCTTCAATGGCGTGACCGAAGACGTTTCGGATAAGTTCGCTGGATTCAGCGACACAGTTGTTGTCTGTTTTATCTCTCTCAATGGCGGTGTCAGTGACTGGCGTCGACTGGCAACGCCTGAAGTATGGATGCACATGTGGGCAATGCCTCTCTGGATTTCTGAGTCCCCGGATGCGCTTCTCCTCGGAATGTCAGGCAAGAGTATGGTTTGATCTTCTTCTTGAAGACATTGATGAGGGGAAGTTCTGGGTTCGATCAAATCGTACCTATCTCACTTTCCTCCCGCGTGATATGCAGAACAATCTCAAGACTAATAAGTCTATGAGGAAGGGATTCATGAACCTCTGTGCAGCCAGATCGCAAACTGTCCCTGAAGAAATATCATTTTGAACGAACAAAACGTGGAGATGGTATTGCGTGATGCGAGCGAGTGGCCCCCTACTTCTAGGCAGTTCTTACAACGTGGTGGGAGCGTTGGTGCGGTCGCCACCATGCTTTTCCAAAGGAAGATTAATTGTACTTCATTTATTCTATAAACCTAACGGTTTATACACAAGTTGTACATCATCAGTCTATTTCCATACGGAACTTTTTCCGTAGATAAAGCTCTATAGTTTACTTGACCATTTTGTGAATCATGGCTCGACCTTACAGAGTTTCACAACAGATTCTAGATCCTGATTGATTGGAAACCAAATTGATCTTCATTCTGTATATAACCCTCAAGCTTTTCAGGCGAGAATACAATAATCAATCTTCCTCGGAATCACAACACTAGTAATCGACTTACTTCGTATGGAGGGATCCTTGACCGTTCACAACATCCAACATTCCTTAAAAGCCGACGATCATCTATCAAGGTGTTTTCTACATTCCTCTCATTTAATATCATGACAATGAAAGCCAGTGTCTGTTTGACTGCAATATAAGGAGCGACTGGCCAACAGGATAATCCCTCACTTAAATTGGCTTATCCAAAATCTAGCGCTTCTGGGGATTTGTACTTCTGCGCCGCTCCAGTTTGATTGTGCTTCTTCGTCATCGATCTCACCCACCTAGTCCTCCTCACTATAGCCGATTTCAGCGTTAGAATTCCCCAATTCTATTTCGAACGCCAATAACCACGAACAAGCTCTGGCTGAGGGAGTCAAGGAATCCCACATTCGTGATTACTACCAGTGATAGGATATCGTCAAGATATTCCCGAATTGGTCGGACGTGGGATAGAATAAGATAAACTCTAAGCCTTAAGCCCTGTGACTGATCTTCCGCACGCATGCCCTTCAGCAGATCATTGAACAAGTTGTAGTGAGTGGAGTTCACCGGCCATGCGTTTCGCGGTTACACGCCGGCGCTTGTCTAATGTCTCATCAAAGATACACGGCTGGTCGAACTTGGTATAGCTAGTGCATGGAGCCTCGCTAAAACACTGTGAAGTACAGGTTTAGCCATGAATGATTTAGCTATATATCAGCGCAGCTTACCTTTCGTTTATATATTCTACAACTAGGACAAGCCGTAAGAAGCTTGTTTTTGTTTAGTAGCTCTTCGGATGCCTGACTGACTTCACCTGGTGAGCATCCCAGTGACCCCTCCGGGTTTTTCGATGTCTTGTCAGCGTGCAGCTCGTTCTGTGCAGAGTATGAGCAATTGGAGGTGCTTATCCAACTAGATTATAGACCAGAGCACTGAAAGACGATTGAGAATATAAAACAAGGCCTCTCAAACCCGCACAGTCACTCCCTGAGTGAAAGTCTTGTGGTCTTCGCTCGAGTGCCCGATACTCTTCGATAGTGTGCTAGGCTATCTCTGAAGGAGAGCCTTCCTGCCGTGCTTTCCTGGGTCTTCTGAAAAAGATCCGCTTGGCCCATTTCCAGCTTTCCACGCCCGCGAAAAATAAAATAGTCTCCACGCCAACTACTCCCCATTCCCATGATATACCAGTGTGCTTGAAGACATCATGATTGATAACAGGAATATACAAAACAGGAAATACTAAGATAAAACCTGCTATGATTGCCCAAAACAAGAACTTATTCCGCCAGGCATCAAACATCCACTGAGTGAAATACCGTTTCGAGTCTGGTTGCATGCGGAAGAATGATCGGCGCATGTCAACCATTTCCCATGCAAGAAATAGGGCAAACCACGTGAGTGAAATAAAAGTTGTTGCGCGTGCACGAAACACAGGCTCGCACTGTGAGTTGAAATTTCTGTTGCAGTTCAGGCCAAGGTCGCCGTCGCCAAAGCCCCATATCACTAGTGAGAATGACGAGAGACACAGCGCGGCCATCCAAAGGCCATAAACAAGGATATCTACGACCACCTCCCATGTAAAAATTCCCTTTTTCTGTGAAGGCGCCTGTTAATTATGCCGACGAGTTTGTATCTGGGGAATATAACGCACGCTTTGCGGAGGCCGATCCATGATATCTGGAGCCGCGATTTCCATACCAAGTCCCATGTCTGGTAGGCCAGAAGTAATCATAATAACCCAGAGAATTTCCACTGGTGATAGTGGAAAGACTGATTGGTCACTTTCATCCTTAAACGCAAGGCCAATTAATAGGGTGCACGCCTGAGCGATATTCTCTGATAGTAGATGTAGCACAAATCTTTGAATATTATCAAAAATCCGACGGCCTTCCTCAATTGCATTTAGAATAGATGCGAAATTATCGTCAGTCAGCACAATATCTGAAGCATCTTTGGCCACATCTGAACCACTCTGTCCCATAGCAATTCCCACATCCGCGTTTTTTAGAGATGGAGAATCATTAACACCATCTCCTGTCATTGCAACAAAGCGCCCGCGCCTGTGAAGTGCGTTGATCATGTTAACTTTAGTCTGTGGCGCACAGCGGGCGATGACACGGGGTAAAAGAGGAAGGGCATCAACTTCTTCCTCCGATAAGTTATCGAAATGGCTGCCAGTAAAGATCATAGTCCGTGCAACATCCGCAGCGACCTGCTGAAGATCGGGTAGTATGCCCACCTGCTGCGCAATCTTTTCTGCAGTTCCAGGGTGATCGCCCGTCAACATGTGCACTGATATGCCCGCCTGGTGACATAGCTCAACGGCCCTGGCAGACTCAGGTCTAGGCGGATCGTAAATGCCGACCAAGCCAAGGAAGCAAAGATCTTCCTCGACCTCCGCCCGGTCTTCCGTATCTGGAACAGCGTCTCTCTTCGCAAGGGCGAGGACTCGAAGGCCCATTCGTGTTAGAGCTTCCATATTCTTAATGACCTGCTCACGATGCTCATCGGACAGCATATTTGGCGGGTAATTTTGCTTTAAGATAATTTCGGAGCATCTCTCCAGGATGCGCTCAACAGCGCCTTTCGTGAATGCCACAGACTTTTTCTTGGTATTGTTATTGTAAACAACGGTCATCCGCTTGATATCTGAGTCAAACGGAAACTCCACTTTTGGCGTCCAGTTCGCATCGTCGCCCTTGGTCAGGCGGTCCCGGTCCCAAGAGAATCTAGATGCAAAGACTTGAAGGGCAATCTCAGTGGGCTCTCCCCGTGCATGCCATTCATTGCCCTCGCCGCCTTTGTGTTTCTGGTAGACATGGGCTAAGTTGGCCAACGAGCAGACGTTGAGGTAGTCTTCGAGCTCTTTGTTGTCGGCCAGCAGTTCGTCAGGCTTTTTCGTCTCAACAGTCATCTTCTCCTCATCAATACTCCTTGGAGCCAGTCCCTGGAAGCTGATCTCTCCAACTGTCGGATTGAAAGGTTCACTGGCGCCCTCAAGGGAATAAGTCCCCTGAGAAGCAACCCACGCCTGTTTCACAATCATTTTGCCCTGGGTCAAAGTGCCTGTCTTATCAGAGCATATATTTGTTACGGCTCCAAGGGCCTCGAGAGAGCTTAGTTTTCGGACAATAACATGGCGCTGCACCATCCGTTTTGTCCCTACTGCCATGGTAATCGTGAGTACTACCACAAGACAGGCGGGGATCATGCTAAGCCCTGTTGCGACAGCGTAGAGAATCACCTCATTATTATCCCTCCAGTAGTTTGCGCTCATCACCACAATAGCAAAAATAACTGCAATACCGAACAAAGCAACTGCCAGCCTAGACAATTTCCTTTGTAGAGGGGTCCCAGCATTCACCCCGAGGAAGCGGCCAATTGCGTCAGTACCAGTTAACACCCATGCTTGGATATGCCATCGTTTTTTAGTCTCACCACTAGGTCCACGCTTCACGGGTCGGCGTTTTTGTCCGCTGGCACGCAGTGCTGAAGCGATCTTCCCTATTTCTGTGCCCATGCCTGTTGCAATAGCAATACCCCTTGCTCGGCCCCTAGTCACAGTACTCGAGCTATACGCGATATTCAGTCGATCACCAGGACCCGTATCCTCTTCGAACGTTGGCTCGGAGTCCTTCTGAACAGGCAGAGATTCGCCCGTCAGGAGTGCCTCATCTGTCTCGAAATTGACAACCTCAATCAGCCTGCTCGTTGCACGTCAGCGCAAATTCTACCTCTCTATTACAGACGAGGGGTAGCAAGCAACAGCCGCACCTCAGATCAGCCGGGATCATTTCGCCTGTCTTCACTTCAACAATGTCCCCGGGGACAATTTCAATGGCAGGAATGACAGCCGTACTGCCATCCCTGGACACGGTTCCACTAGGCGTTGTCAGCGATCGCAGAGACGCCATCGTCCTCTCCGCCGCGTACTCCTGGAAGAAGCCGACGACGATATTCAACCCAATAATGCCAGCGATAACGCCACCCTCGATCCAAGACTGGATGCCGAAGCTGACGGCCATTGCTAAGATTAATACCTGCCAGCAAGCAGTGTTAAAATGGCGCATTTCTGATATTCGTTTTCCGCAATGTAAAACGCACGAAGCCAAATTCTGAAAAAAGAAAAAAAATAAAAATAAAAAAAAGAAAACCCTACGGGCTGAACTCACAAGCATCATCGCATTCGCGATTTGTCGCAATAGTATTTTCCCAATTGAGAGTCCTTCGCCCTCCTCCAGGCGGTTATGTCCATAAGTGTCCAGACGTGAGCGAGCCTCAGCGCTTGTCAGCCCGTCGTCTGGATCGGTTGAAAGCTGTTCTAGGACTGCGGTATAGGACAAGCAGTGAGGAGGCTGGCTCAGTTCTGGTATTCTGAGTTTTGCGGTGCCTTGGCTTGAACCATCCATTGCTAGCCAGCTAACTGTTGCTTTTTACAGACTGTCAGCTTATTATAGGAATCCGTAAGGGGGATTATTGCTTCTTCGCGCGCTTTTAGGCCTCAGGGCGGATAAATCAGCGGTATATCTATTGAGAACTAAAGTTATGCCCTAGAGACAAAACAGGAAAGTCCATGCAAAGGCTAATAGTCATACTTATATCATCATCATTCAAGCCAAGAGGTTTTCTTGTGAGAGTCGGGGGTCCGCTCGACTTTCCGTGGTTCCAAGGTGTCGGTTGGGTCACAGACCACTCAGAGTTTGGACTGTAACGTCAAGATGAATGGGTGACATCTAAATTAAGTGTAGCGGCCCACTTATATGTACCGCTGATATAAGTCGGATAACTCTTGGTTAGGTCTTGGATAGAGGCTACACAACCTCTGTACCCAGAAAAAATGATGACGTTAAGTACGATAACAGCACAATAAAGGAATAAAATTAAGCCTCAAGGTAAACGATGCAGGGAAACTGAATCCTAGCTAGCAACAGGATTTTCTTACACAGAGAAAACGTAAGGCAGATGCTATGCGTTGCTTTTATCATTTAACACCCTATGGAAAACCAAAACCCTGAGTCTCAGTCTGGTACATCTCCCCTAAGCAGCATTACAAGCTTCGGATAACATTTCTCTCAGGGAGGATCGTTGGCTACTGCTTCATAGCGGCCTTTCCCATCATTCTATGCATAGCCATCGTCACTTTAAAGTTGAAAGCTCTCCGACGAGCTCGCTGCGAATCCTCAGGCTCAAATTCGAATAGCAGGAGCCCTAGTGCTCCAGCCTCCTATAGAAGAAACCGAAGACAAACACTATCGAGAACAGCCTTGAATGAAATGCCCATGTACAAAACTAGGAACTACCTCGGTAGCAGAACACGTAGCGGTAGTACCGACGTGGAAAAAGGGATCACCTGCCAACAGGCAAGCAGCAGTCAGCCTATCAGGAAATTTAGTCCGGAGCTTGCCGATCAAAATTTCGAAATATGGAGGCTGGATAGCTCGGTAGGTGGATCCATCAATAATTCCATCATTCATGAGACAATCACGCCTGATATTCACTAGCATGCTTCACACGGAAGCAGCAACTCGGCTTGTGCTGTCTGCACTGAGGATTTCACGGAAGACCAGTTCCTACGGAATCTTCCCTGTCATCATCAATACCATGCGGAATGTATAGATGGCTGGCTAGTTAATGTATCAGGATCTTGTCCTCTGTGGTATGTTAGGCGTGGATGCTTCAAATGAATACTCAGGGAGCTCAATTGGTTCTAACTTGCTTGTCTTAGCCGTATGGATTTGTGCAGTACTCGAAGCCTTGAAGGGACTCATACGCAGCAAAGCCTCCCTGTTCAACCTCCACAGGCGGTTATCGCGCAGCATCCGCATTCATGGAATCATCTTAGAACAGCTTAATTACAGGCTGAATCTGCTCGAAAAATGAATGATCAGAACGCTTTCCGGAAGGGTCTGACACAGAAGTTGTGTGAAAACCAATGTAACAGATTGGAAAAGTTGGCCACTGATTACTCGAAAGGTAGAATATCCCATGAAAACTGGCGTTCGCTCAGCCTCTCGGATATCGACAGACAGAATTGTCCCATCTAAGCGCCACGGCCCATTAGCTAATGAGTGCTGGCAATCGCACCCCGCCTGCAGTTCAACGCCTTCTTCAGTAGGCCCAACCACATGTCTGTCTGTCCATATCGGCGATTTCGTATCTCGACGTGCGAAAACTCAATATAATTTTTCGGGACCCGAATGTGAGGACTTGCTGGGTTCTGTCGCTCGCATATGCTCGACATATAGCCCTCTGCGTAAAGAAATAAAAGCAGCTCTGCCCTACCGGTAAGGAAGACATGGCTCTAAATTCGAGTCTCCTCGGACAAACTATCGAATAGGCTAGCAGTGAAAATCGTGAATCGTGCAACATCAGCAGCAACTTGCTGAAGATCCTCTCGCAATATGACCAGCTGGAGACATAGCTCAACGGCTCCAGCTAGAGTTCCGAAAGGAATATAAATAATAGGAATAATAGGAATGTTGTTAAACAAGTGATAATTCGTTGATTGTTGTTTCTTAAGTTGTAGTTATCTCGGGATGCCTCAGAAACTAGTGGGTCAAAATTAAAATGGTATCAACGGCCCGTCTAGAACTCTCTATATATACCAGCGGCAGGCAAGTCTGTGCTCAACAGTAGGGACATTGACCGTAGGCAAAAACTTCCAAAATAAATTATACAGTTACATAAAGATCCATCCGGCTGAGCGATTACTAGCTGAGCCTAGTTCAAAAAACATAATAATAATAATAATAATAATAATAATAAAAAGCCGATTATCTAGTCTGATTACACCCGAAAAAATCAGAAAAACGCAACAAACTCAAACTCGATTTTCTCAACCAGTCCAAACGATATCGATCTACAAATTGGTTCTATAGAAACCCCCTATTAATACTTTATATACCAGCCACGTGCCCAATGTACAGCCTGAGGTCTGCGAGGCATAGATAGAATTAGGCGATCTATGACCTGTGGGATAGCCCACTAGGCCTCCTGGATATGCCTTTTAAACAACTTCCAGTCGATTTTTGACCTTCCCCCTAGAAGGAGCATAGGGTTGAGTTCTAAAAGCTTGCGTTTTAGTAGGGCCCATATGTGCTCTATAGAGTTTAAATCAGGCGAATGGGGCGGCCATTCTAGGACCCAGGTCCCGTGGGATTTAAACTAGGCCTGCGCCTCGTAGAAAACATGAATTCTTGCGTTATCTTGTTGGAATATAACTCCGGGCTCGTACATTGGTAAAAGACCCTTTCTAGGCAGGCAAGGTAGGATTTCGTTGAATAACCGCCTCGTTCTGATAATTCATCCCATCCCATAACTATCAAATCTGATCGGCCACCTAGCCATATAGAACCCCATACCATCTAGACTATGTCTTTTCTATGGTTCATTAGGTCCACTAGATTACGCTTGTAGGCCTCATTTGAGAAATGAAAAACATATTGAGTAGAGGAATTAGACTTGCGCTGCACCGAACATTCGTCAGGAAACCATATATCTTTCTAGTCGGGATAATTCAACCACACACGCGCAAATTTAAGACGCCTGTTAGCTATTTCAGGAGTTAACGCATTAAGTTTCTTACCTTTCCATTTTTTTGAATGAAAAAGCTTTAAACCCCTTTTAACTGTAGAGGGAGAGACCCCAGAACCAATACCTGCGCAGAGAGCCCTATAGCTTAGTTTAGGTCTCCGGCGCGCTAATAGATATATATTGCGCTTAGTAGAATGGTTGAGCCTTGTAGGCCTACTCTTTCTAGGGAGCGGTTGCAAGGTGTGGTTGCGCAGGCAGCGTTCTTTTGTTGAATAAATTGTATTTCGACTAACACCAAATTGCTGGGCCAATTGAGTTGGTGATGCCTTATTCTCTAGACCAGATGATATAGCCGTGCGGGTTTCAATAGAAAGCCCCGAATTAGGCCTTCAATCCCCACTAATTTTGGTTCCAAATGCCCTCATCTTCATAAAATGGTAGGTGGTTGAACAAATTGCGATTTTTGACGCGTCGTGGGAACGCGTTGGTGTAATAAGACTTTTGGCCCACCTCTGTGAGGAACAAGTAGTTAGGGGTCAACTCAATGAATAGTTTACCTAGCACCTTTGGGGGGTATCTTCTGAATTCTTATATCTTCTTTGGCGTGAATACAGATTCCCTATATTGATCATGGACGCAAGTGTTAGCAAATGCTGGTTGCCAAGGATATTCTGTCGACCTTGAAGTGCCTGCCAGTAAAGGTCTTTGCTCTATCAGTAAGATCTTGGTGCAAATAGAGATTGCCAAGATTATTAACAGTTGCGAAAGTGTAGGGATGTTTAGCACCTAGTAAACTTTCGCGACCTTTTAATACCTGCTTATAGAAGGCTTCTGCATCCTTCAAATTTCCCGTATGGAAGATGTCCCCAAGGTTGTTGGAAAGGACAAGCGCAGAAGAATGATCCGGCCCAAAGGCTGATATCCAGATCACAAAGACACGCTGATATAGAGATTGTGCTTTGTCAAGCTTCTCCTGTAGGCAGACAAATGTTCGAAGGGCGTTGAGGGTGGAAAAAGTCAATTGGTACTCTGGTCCTAGAGCGGAGATTCCTGCCCTATGAGAGCTTGCTTGTACGCTCGAAATGCTTCTCCGAACTGTCTCTTAGTAATATTGTTGTGAACCAAGGCTCGACCGGGTAAAACTATACAGCTTCTGATATGGAACAATATCCGTATAAGGATCGGATTGATTTCCAATCAATCTGATGTTCAACTTATATATAAACCCTCCGGTTTATAGAAGTAATGAGAATAATCAATATTGAATTACAACAGGGCGACCTCCGCACGCACGTGTGGCGGAGAAGGTCCCCGGCACCCTGTACCTAGACCTCGCCAAATCGCGGGTTGGGTTTCCACCCTTGACCCAAAACCCGCCAAGAGAAGTAAATAACGGTAATATATACACATATAACACATCTGCACATATTAATGCCAGGATCTTTCATAGATATTTCTGTAAAATACGGAGCTCTGGGTTCTTGGCGGGTTTGCGGGTAACCCATGAGTACCCAAAAAAGCAATATGGCGAGGTCTATCAGTATACCATCGTCACGTGACATCGTGATTACTTTTCTGGGTTGTTTCCTTTCCCGTTTCCAGGGGCGGAGCCAGTTCCCCAAGGAGCGCAACCCGTGGCCGTGGTAGTACCTTCAGCGTTAGTGAAGTCGAAGGTCTTGCTCAGAGCGATCACACGGGTCTCATCGTCACCAAGGTAGGAGACCAGCTCATCGGTGGTAAAGGGGTAGACAGCAGTGGCAATTCCACACCGGTAGTGCTAGATGCGAAGCCCTGCGCGGTGCCAGAGACACCAACGGCCAAGGCCTGGGAGGCGAGGGCGGCAACGGTTGTCAGAACAGCGGCGTACTTCATCCTGGAAGTTTTGCGTTGGGATTTGAAAAGGTATCAAGTAGACCTCGAAAGGTTCCGTTCTGATCTGTATCCTGATCCGCCGGATTAACAAATAAGACAGACATGGGAAATCCCGTGATATGCACATTTTATATAGATTTGGGTTGTAATTTAAGTATTTAGCTTACTGGTTAGACGAAAAGCACCTATAGTTGAAAGCATACTAATAAAATAGAACTTAATCTACAAATCTCGAATTCCATTAAGTCTAAGACATCTGCATGCTCGTCTGGTAAGTCGCCGCTGCCGGCCCCCCTTGTCCTCGACTGACCGCAGTACGCACCCGCCCCCAGGTTCTCCTACTCCCCCTTTCTCACGCAGTTCGAACCCGAACGCTCTGGCATCAACGACGACTGCATCCTGCCGCGCAACTTCCCCGTCGTCACGGGCCGCCTAACCGACCAGGTGCAGTGCATTGGCTACACGATCAAGTCGGTCGGCGCGGGTGCCGCGCGAGGTACGTACAGCCAGCAGGCGCAGGACCTGGAGTACAAGCTGGCGGGCCAGCATCGCACCTTTGCGAGGCGTTTCGGCAGCGCGATGTTCCCGCACGGCGCCATCTCGCTGTGGCGGCGCAAGTTTCTGAAACGCACGCTCGAGAACCATCCGGGCTTCTCGCTTAGCGAGGACTTGTTCCTGGGGGATAGCTGTCGGCGGCTGGCCGGGCGGATTCAGAGGTGCAACGCGGTGTTTGTCGAGACGATGACGCCGGCGCGAGTGATTTCCGTGCACGTGAACCGGCTGCGCGGCGGGGTCGGCCAGATCACTGTGTGCAAGAAACTTTTTCTGCGCTAGAACTTTTTCGTCGCACAGAGATGTGGTATAATACGAGCTATCTGTTTTGGAGCTGGCGGCTAGGGTGGCGGGAGCTGGGGACAAAGCTGTTTGTGTTTCAGGAGATGATTTTCGTCCCGAGGTTTGCTTGCTGCTCGCAACGCGCGCGGGGCTCAACTCGCTAATTCGGTCGGGGGTGAATGCAGCTCTACGAAACCGCGCTGTACATGCTGGCGCCGTTTGTGATCCCGACCTCGCTCGTGGTGGAGCCCGGATTCACGATGCTCCTGATGATCGCATTGTGGGGTCTGTATCTGCTCAACGCTATGGTCTTCAACGAGATGCATCTCAAGCGGAAGGGGGAACGAGTGGGCCAGTGGGTGGTCGCCATCTACTATGTAAGTTGGGGTTTGGGGTGGATCTGCACACGCTCCAGCTGCTGATGATGCCATATAGATGCCGTATAAGCTGGTGATCGGGATCACGAACGTCACCAGCTGCTCCTGGTTGACTGTCAAGTATGCACGGTATTTTGCGCGCCGACATCCCAGATTGACGGAGGACACTAAGGCTGTGCGGATGGTGCTGCGGCTGGAGGAGCTGTCCGAAGCGGGCGATCGGGGCGGCGATCCGCGGGCGGCAGCGAATCTGGGCAGGAGCATGACGGTCCAGTCGGTGGGATACCGGACGATGACGGGCGGGATGATTAAATTCCCCGGGCTTGTTACTGCGCACGAGTTAGGGCCTTAGGCTGTCTCTCTCCTTCTGTGCCTGCAGATTCCATTTGGGTAGTTGGCATCAGGGTTGTCTAGTTTGCCGCTGATGAGGATGCCGTGAGGGTTGCACAGGAGCCAGGACTTAATGCATCGTGGTTATGATGGTCGTGAATGGCTAGGTGATCGGACCGGTGAAACAAAACATCCATTCCGATGAGACGAAGTCGGCACGTGGGTTCTTTTGCCGCAAGCTGATGATAGGTTGGGCGATGGAACTAGTGTCCCACTGTTCGCTTTTCTGGAGAGTTGGAGTTGTTTTCTTTAGGAAAGGTATACAAGTAAGTGGAAGTGGAAGGAAGTGAAAAGATCAAATAAAGGGAATCCTGTGGAATGGAAAGAAGTAATATAGGATCGGAGAAAGAGATTAAAGAGAGTCGTGAGGGGAAAACAGGGAGAGTCTTATGTTCTTCCTAGGTACTAGAATATGGTGTTTATAGCAAATGATGATGCCACAGAAGAACCAAGAGGATATAACCATCCGTAACGAAAAGCTTCGGAGACTGGAAAATATGGTAAGTCTTCAGAGCCCAGCAATTGGAATCGGAACGCATCCCGCCTCAAATAAAACTAATCCACGGGAAACAAGACATCGATTTGGGCCGCACTGACCGGACGAAGATTCAAGCCGAGTGCCCACTATCATCGTTGTAGATCGGAAGAACGGCAGGATGTAGGCAAATCAGGAAGACGGTCGGTTCTTGTCGATCCATAGATTCAAGCGGCCTTGACTATTTGCAAACAACTCTGTCGTAAACTGAACAGGAATGCCATTAAATACGACTCTGGCTATTGACATCCGAGACAGACCGAAAAAGAAATAATCTGTTACGCTGCGCGGCAAAGTAGACACCTGCCTATGACCATAATAAACAGGTCATGAGGGCTATCCGGGCAGGAATTCTCTCTGCTTCCATCTATGGAGATGCGGAGGAAATGAGAGGCAGGCTTCAGGCAAGTGCTATAAATATAGTAGTTATTAAAATAGTTGCACATTCTCGTTCTTCGGGGTGTGCGCAATGGCATGAGATGGCAATGGCGCGCCGTCGGAGGTGTATAAGACCCGGTGAGATGATGAGACACAAGACATTCCAAGGTGGCTATAGTATGGTAATCACTGCAATTAATAGGCACGTGCCGATATGGGCAGGAGATATATTCAAGGATGGACTGCTACAGGATACCCAGGTGGCAACAAGGTCGGAAACAAAGCAAACCTAGGTTACATAGTGGACATACCCTCGATGCTTGTTAGCTCTAGAAGAAATATAATGTATATTTTCACGCCAGACATAAGGATTTTAGCGTGAAGCAAAGTCTATATAGTATGACACGTTAATGCTGTTTCTTATTCCGAACTCCCTTCGCTGTGACGAGCTCTACACGCCTGGGTACACGACCTCCTTTTTTTGTTGAACGGCTAAGAATTGGGTGGAAAATCTGCGCCTGGTTTGCAGTAGTTATATGCTGCCTCATAGTGGAGCCGGGTATATTATGTCATTCACATAACCAGCAGGGGCCACCGACCACTAGAGCTCGGATAACAATCCAGTACGTCGTTTGGACCTCCCAAAGTGGATTGGCATCGAGGCAGCCATCTGCGCTGAGTAAATCCTGATGAGCCACAGTCGGTGCTAATATGATGCCGGATCAGGCTGAGGCTGTAATGGCTTGTATCCCTGGAAGGCGTAGAGCGCTGGGTCAAGCGGAACCAATCCTGAATGCAAAAGGTTGATTGATTGAAAAAAGAACGAATATCATGAGGCAGGTCGAAATACCCCATGGATGTGCCTGGTACACGGTGTTACGATAGCCGTCATTCCCAGGATACCAAATTACTTTACAGAACACATGGTCGGGTGGGTCATTCGGTATGACCCTGGTTTGGCGATAAATTATCGCCTCATGTCTCGACACTTACTTTCCCCCCAAGCATTTGTTACTTATGAGGATATCGACCTGGGCTCAGAGATAAATGGCAAATCATATACCATTTACTCTATTCCTTCTAGGAAACAAATATACGCTCACCAAGTTGATTTGAGTGTCTCTGGGGGTCATGAGAGATGAGAAAAGCCCCAACTCAGACAACCAATGGCTGACTTCAAGGAGACTGTGTGGTTAGAATCCTTGAAGAGTCCACAGTCCGCAGTACATGAATGATCTCCAGTTTTCTTCGTATTGATGTTAATAGCGCTATTTTTGGAGATATGTGTCACGCAATATGCCAGATAAATTATCTCATTAGCTTTTCGCAACCTTTTTCCGCCCTCGTTAATCGCATTTAAGGTTAGCAATACCCTTAGTCACAGGGAACCCGTGTCTTCAAACATTCCATTTTCATCATGGCCTTGCAAGTTCATCTCGTCCGCCACGCAGAATCTGTTCACAATGTATCCAAAGACTTCTCTCAGCCTGATCCAGAGTTGACTACTCTAGGCATTTAGCAGGCCCAGCAGCTTATCCAATCGTTTCCAGATGCCCCCAAGGTGGGTGCAATCAACACCTCTCCACTAAAACGTGCCATCCAAACCACCCTCGCTGGCTTTTCGCACATCCTTGATAAACGCTATTTCGATACCAAATCTGGGCAAGGTATAGAAAACGGTGCAACGCTTATCCTGGACCCAAATTTGCAGGAGAGGAGTGCGCTTCCCTGTGATACTGGATCGGGATCGGAAGACCTGGACCAGGCTTTCCCGAAGCTAGGTGCAAGGATTTGGTTGAGGGTTGGCAAGTGAAAGAAGGCTTCTATTCTCCAGCCGATGAGGCGGTAAAGGAGCGGGCGAAAAGGGCGACATCTCGAAGTTCGGCAGTTAGCGAAGGCCTGAAAAATCAAAAGCGTACGCATATTGTGGTTGTGACTTATGGGGTCTTCATGAAATTCTTGTCAAGAGACTCTGAGATTGATCTCCTGAAAGCAGGTTGGTGAAGCTATAGTATTAGGTATCATCACTCCGATGTTGCTTTGTTGCCACTCTAGCGATCATTAAATTGCCCAATGATGGCCGTTGTTTGAATGTCGGATCGCGCAGAATGCCGTGTTGGTCTCGTCTTTATTTGTGGCTACCGTAGTGCACTTGAAGTTCAAGCTCAACCCCGCCCCTGGACAGAATGAACCAGTTATGAGGCCGCTATTATGATCAAAATATGTAGAGACAAAGTCAACATAACATACGAGAAGCTTTGAAGACGATACCTGCATATGCTGTAACCTGATTGACTGCCTCAAGGTGTAGACGCGGCTACAGAATCTAGCAAGCGTGGATATTCCATTTGTGCAGGTCGTCCTGCAGCCAATTCGTCTATCTAACGATGCCAGTAATGGAGCTAATGGCTTCGGCCCGTTGGTTGGAGAGTCGCAGCCTTCTCTGCATGGATTTTGAAGCATCCAGCCCGTGACCGTGACTACCATGTGTAGCGCGCCTCAAACTGTTCAATCCAAGTTTCGCAATCAAGAAAAAAACCCCGCGTAAGCTATTGCGAGATATACTGAAGGCACCTGGTCCTCGAACAAGAGCAAGGGCTGGAGCAGAAGCGTCCCGTTCATTTTCTGGTCGTTGCCATGCCCAGCACTTTTAGAAGTCGAAGACGAGTTTCTCTCCGGGAATGGTTGGACAGAAAGCTTGTATGGGAACAGATCGAGGAGAGATTCGATCGAAGGTTCATTGGAAGCGATTTGAAATCCGTGCCTGTCGCGAAACAGGGAGGAACGAACAGGAGGAGTTTTCGGAAATGGTGCTTTTAGGCAATCTTATCAAGTACAAGTGCGCTTAACCTATACCGTACCTGATCACCTGACGCCCGGTCCCACCTGACGCCCCATTTTTTGATATACACCGACTTTTCGATACTTTTCAAACCACCATAACTCTGCCAATATGGCTTCAATTGAGGCAGCGATAGCTGAGATCGAAAGCTTAAAACCAGGAGAAAAGATAAATTACACACAGACTGCTAAGAAATATGGTATAAGCAGGTCTACACTATCTCGACGTCATCGTGGTGTTCAACATACTCGAGCAGAGCAATATAATAATCAACGAATCCTCAACAACGAGCAGGCCAAAGCACTTATAAAATAGATCAATAATCTAACTAATAAAGGCCTTCCGCCTACGCCTGAAATGCTACGAAACTTTGCTAAGGAAATTACTGGAAAGAAGCCAGGAAAACAGTGGCCAACTCGATTTTTGAAGAAATATGATAATCAGCTTACTGCCCGCTATACAACTGGAATTGACTCCCAACACAAGCAAGCTGATTCGGTGTATAAATACTCTCTTTACTTTGAGCTAATAGCCAAGAAGCTCAAGGAATATGACGTACAGCCTGAAGATATATATAATATGGATGAGAAAGGCTTTCTTATCGCAGTACTATCAAAAGGCAAAAGAATCTTTTCTCGTTCTAAATTTGAGTAGGGGGGGTTTAAGCAACACCTTCAGGATGGGAATAGAGAATGGATTACTACAATTACTTATATCTCTATAGATAGAAGCTTTCTTTCCCCGGGCCTTATATATCAAGCTGTCTCAGGTAATATACAGGATTCCTGACTTCAAGATTTCAGTTCTGGGTATCATACATGCTTTTTTGCATCATCTCCGAGTGGCTGGACAAATGATGATATTGGATATACCTGGCTTACCAATATCTTTGATCGAGAAACTAAGAAGAAGGCTCGAAGGCGTTAGAGACTTCTAATCCTCGATAGCCACGGATCTCATATAACAATAAAGTTTATTAACTTCTGCGATGAAAATAAGATCCTTTTGGCTATCTATCCATCCCATTCTACGCATACGCTACAGCCACTGGATATTAGTATCTTTAGTCCTTTGTCTACAGCGTACAGCGCTGAATTAGAGCAATTTTTACATAATTATCAAGGAATAAGTCATATCACAAAACAAGACTTCTTTCAACTCTTTTGGCCAGCGTGGAATACTGCTTTATCAAAGGAAAATATTGAAAGTGTATAGAATTCTATTAGTTTACATCCTTAGAATCCTGAAAATATATTGATACATTTTACCAAAAAGGATAGTACTAGACCATCATCTAGTAATTCGTCTCATTCTATCCTGAGTGCAGAAGATTGGAGACGTATTGAAAGGCTTCTTCAGCGGACGGTTTCTGATATCTATGATAAAAAGGCTCAAAAGCTCAGTTCTACTATGTATTCGCTTTCTACTGAGAATATCCTGCTTAAGCTACGTTGTTCAGGTCTTGAAAAGGCTCTAAAGAACAAACAGAAGAAGCGTCAGCATAGGAAACCGCTTCTATCTGATTTGCGTGCTTTAGAAGGTGGTAATGCAATTTTTTACTCGCCTAATAAGATTCAAGAAGCTCGGGATCTTCAAGCTCAGAAAGATGAAGCTATACAACTTGATAAAGCTGCTAAGCAAGATAGAAAGCTTCGTCGGGAACAGGAAAAGAAAGAAAAGCAGCTTCTATTAGAAGAACGCAAGAGAAATCGAGCTTTAAATAAGAAGATACGTCAGCAGGCAAACGTTCAAAAGCAGCACCAAAAGGAAGAAGAAAAGTTTACCAAAAGAGCTAATCTACAGCTTCAAAATAATATGAATCAGGCTGCTAGAGGCAAAAATAAGATCCCTATACCTTCAACTCCAAAAAATATGAAGGATACTAGTGATCAAAATGAGGTTGTTGTTGCAGAGGCTTCATATAGTGTAAATCGTCGGGGTAGACAGATCCGCCTACCTGCGCGCTTTCGGGATTATTAAAATAGTTATATATATTCTATATAGTTTAAATAATAAACCACTAAAAAATCACACAATGATAAAACAATATATGTGGTTGTAGAGCTTCATCTTTAACTCTGGTTTTCATAGGAAATCGGGCGTCAGGTGGAGACGGGCGTCAGGTGATCAGGTACGGTATTGGCTGATTAATCAGATGCAAGAGAAAGCTGGGCAAGGGTTGGTCTGCCAAGGACGTGGACAAGAAGGCTGAAGATCCTAGCAATCATAATGCTAGTAATGGCGGAAGTATGCCATTCGAAACGAATATACCTCACATGCATGTCCCGGTGGAACAGTGATGGTGTGGCGAGATTACTGATTCGAGTATTTGGGGACATTTTCTTTAATATGGGACGGGTACATAGTCTGCGAGGCTATTGCTGTGGGGCAGATAGAATTATGGCACAGCTATGGACTAGATCGACGGTGTGGCCAGGAGGGAAGGTGTAAAGTCAAAAGGAAACTAAAATATATAATTCGTGCGGACAGATCGTAAGGATATGCCAACAAAGTGAAAAAGAGAACCAATGGATAACCAAAACAGGCGACTCAAAATAATCCTGCAAACAGTCCAAAATATGACGGATTTTTATTTCTCCTTGTCGTCCTGGGGCCCAACCTCAATACTGGCAATATCACCACGCAAAGCACTCGTGAGGTCGACATGGAAATACGGACGGTTAATGCCAGACACGAGCTCAACCCATCGGGCCTCGGTATCGGCTCGGTTGGGGCGTAGATAGTGGTGTAGGGCGGTCCCATCGTTGCTCCAAACCATGCCGCTCACGTTCAGTGATCTGGCCAGTCTGGTCCTGCTCTAAATCGTCGGCCTTCCGCTGGCTCGTCTTGAGCTGACGCTCTGCAGCCGCTGCCGAGTCCCCGCTGCTACCTAGCTCTGCCACGCTGAATATGGGCTTCCACGGCTGGAAACGTTTAGTCTGTTTAAGCGTGAGGTATCCAAATCCGGTCGAGGTCAGTGTCCATTTGGCCCATCGGTTGGAGATATTCGCAAAGTACCACTGCACATGGACGGGAGAGGCATAGGCATCCAGCTGGTTCCGCACGTCGACTAGATTCTGGAGAGAAGTGATGTCGACATTGTTTACGGACGAAAAGTCCAAAATAATGGCGCGCAAGCATGGCAAATGGGTCCGATTCTCCTCCTTCTTTCCACGACGCGGGCCAGGGTTGTTCCAGGGTCGGTCTCCCGGGCTCCCCCATGATTTGAGATTGGTCCGTCGGGTCTCCTTAAAAATGCTCGAAACCAAGTTATCGGTTTCATGGCTGGCATTAGGGTAGACATAGCCCTCAGAAAATCGATAGATGAAGACACCTGAATACGGATGTTCCACATCAACCGCCGGGTTTGAGCCATCGTGGTGACTGATAGGCAGGAACACGGTACGGAAGGACTCGTCCGGGTCCTTCTCTAACGAAGCCTTTGCTGCTTGTGTTGTAGGGGTGTCAAGTGCTCTATGCCTACCATCGTTGTCGAACAGATGATCACCGATCACGGAGCAGATCATAACCTTGCCGAGAAATTCACCACGCGCCTTGACGATACGCCAGAGGAGCAGCGCAGCCGACACGCTAATAGTAACGTAGACACCGTTCTCGATCGTGGAGAAGACTGTCACCAGCACACCGGCGAAGAATATGAGGACCTCCAGCGACGACGCGAGCCAGAACCGGTACACCGTGTTGGGTGGTATAATCAGGTCGCCGACCGCATGGATGATTACGGCAGCAAGAGAAGAGTTGGTGATGTAGAAGGAGACCGCGGGGAGCACATATATCGCGAGGAGCACCACGATGGCAGTGACCACACCAGCCAGGGGAGTTCGGACGCCCGCCTTAGATTTGATGGCTGTCCGCGAGAACGATCCGATACCCGGGTAGGCGCCCAGGAACGGGCCCAATAAGTTGGTCACACCAATGGCAATGAGTTCCTGGGACGGTTCGATCACGTAGTTGTTTACCCGACCGAACGATTTGGAGATCGCAATATGTTCAATCAGCAACACAACGACCACCGACGGCAGTTCAGTTGCGAAGGTGGAAATGATCTTAGTGTTGACGCTAGGAACACCAGCAGCCGTGAAACCTATCAAAGCGTGTTAGATAACCAACCAAACGATAGCGAATGTGAGGAATGGAATGCGCACCTCGCGGAACATTGCCCAGTAATTTGAAGGCTGGCTTGTCGCGACGGTGGAGATTTACCGCAGCACTAATCATGATGTAAAACAGAATGACAAACGCGGTTCGTAGGGTCGAGAGGAAGAAAAACAACCTGGCTTTGCGCGGATTCTTCCTCGCTCCATAGTTGCATGCGCCACGGATCACATAGAGCATAAACAGCGCAGTCAGCCCCATGGCGGCGTTCATTCGGGTTGACGGCAAGTGCCTGAGTGTATTGATGTTGACCATGTATGGCGCTGCTTTCGTATCGAATTTTTCCTTCTCGCCCAGCAAGGCCCTTGTTTGCCCGGCAATGATATTGATGGCCGAGCCAGTCATAAAGGCCGAGATGGAAGTCAGGGAAATAAAATCGACGATGAACCCCCGGCGGATGAAACCAATGAAAGCGACAATGGCACCGCCAGTGATGGCCAATGAATTCGCCACATCAACCTTATTTAGTTCGGGATGTTCCGATTGTACATTCAGGACAACGGTGCCAGTCAGGGCTGACATGACGGCCACGGGCTGAGTGACAGTATGTTAGTACCGAGAGGAAGGTACATGTGACCTGAATGCTTACACCGATAGTGATGTCCTTGGAGGTCGTGAAAAACCAATAGATCAAGACACCCATGAACGACGAGTACAGCCCGTACTCCGGGGCCAGCTCGGCCAGGCTGGTATATGCCATGCTCTGCGGCACCACAACGGCACCGGCGGCGATACCTAGATGCTCGGTTTATGGGCACGTCTCCTCCATGATGCAACGGGGAGTGGAATACGTACCGGCAACCATATCACCAATCAACCACTGGAGATTGTATCGATCAATCCATTTCAGGAACGGCAATATTTCGATGAAATACTGCATAACCTGCGAGCCTGTTGGGACATGGTCTTTTACCCACTCGATACTGGTAGGTTCCGTTTCGGAATAGGCCTCTGCAGTGCCCCTGCTGAATAAGGATCCCCCCCGGGTAAGATGCTCCTGGTTTTAACTCAAAAGGGTCCCGATATGCCAGCTTGATGCCCAGAACCTTGGTCAATATATGGCCGACTTTGATCCATGTGTCTTCTGGCATGGTCTGCAATGAGCGATACGACTGACACGCGACAACTCAGCTCTGAGAAATCGACAAGGAGTAGCGACAGCTTTGCAGCGGTCCCTAGCAGTGCAGTGTTGCAGACTGGAGAAGGGAAGATGGCAAGATGGTCACAAAAGATAAGGCAGAAGCGTGATAATATATACTTTCCAGGAGCTCGGATGGCGCCAACTCGGCTCAAAGGATCAGGCGATATCTGTGAGGAAACACAAATAGGAGAAATAAGGCCCTAAAAGTGTGAGAGAAATGTTGAGCCCGATGTCGTGGTCACTACAGCTGCACGCTAGACCTAGTAGCCCCCACTGAACCGTATCCGTCGATTGCCCTGGTAGAAAATTATAGGTGAACGTGGTGGTTCAGGGACGGAATCTAAGGACGTGATCTCTCTCTGCCACGGTGTAAACGAGTAAGTCACAAGCCAGGGGACTCTTGCCGACTCTGAGAGACTGCTGCATTTGTAATCTAGCTAGGACGGGTGACGAAATCGGAGAGGTACCGCCCGCTGGCTAATCCCCACACTTAACATAACAACCATTATACTGCCCCCTTCCATCCATGACGACAACACACTGCGTGTCTACCACTCCAGGGTCCAACGGTCTCCAGCTGATGCCGAGATATCTTGTAGTCCAGTTTGGTCTCAGGACGATCATCTTATTGTCTTTATTCGCTCTCGAACCACTCCACATTGTCTGACCCGGATCAATGACTCGACAGGCCTTTAGTCTCCGTCCTTATGCTAGGGGTAGCCTCAAATCCTTGTTATCTTCCTTCCGGACTTGACGGTTGAATCTACTCTCTTGCCCATGCGACAGCGGATAACTCTGGATCTCCGCATGAGCGAGTCTTCCGCTTGGAACGTGCCGCGCAGTCACTACCAACTAGTCAACATTGGAACCTATAACGACGGTTTGGTCCCTATCCCTATCCTACAGACAGTATCTGTGTTACAAATCAGAGCTCGTGCAAGGGACATTGTAGATATTTTTCATGCTTGAAATTGACAATACGCTCCGACGCTCTTGGTCAATAAATTTCTTGACAGTTTGGTACAATTTATTGACATTGTAACGTGAACTGAGAGGATAAATAACACTGGTGCACTCTGGTGGAGAGTGGGCGTCAGGATGTACTACGCTAATGCACCAGCCACCAAGCCTTCCCAAATGACCCCCAGAACTGAAGAGTCCCAGGACAATGACCAAGGTGACAATAGCGACGGAAAAAGCGGTGGCGAGCATGATCCAAACCCGACGCTTACCAAGTCTGTCCTCATCCCCAAGACAGAGTGCTTAAGTCTAAGGAAGGAAGATGTACGAGAAGTCGAACGTCTTTCTCGCTAGCAACAGACAGTCGACGGTCTGGTCTGACAAAAAACCACCGCATTGGCCCGAGGCATACTCTGCATGGTAACCCGAGCCCGAATACCTGGAACTTGCAAGCCCAGACTGAGGCGGAGTCGGCTATGGCTCGACAGTCGAAGGAAAGTTCGGTACTCGCGAGAAGCTTATATGAGATGTTTTTAACTTGCAGAAACCCCTTCCATTTCTGCGTGGGTAGAACGGCTTTTGTCCCTTTTGGACTACAAGTAATGTCCAATGTGTGCTTATCTTATGTTTGACTTTGTCATCATCTTGCGTCCGAACTGCAGGCCCCATGCGAGAGCGTGCTACGGTGGTGAGATACGTAGCTGTGGTGGAGTTAGCCCCTGATGATTCTGGTAGGATCGTCGGTGACTGTGATCTATATTGGAAGATTGGCTTGGATCATGTAGAACCCGACATGTCGGTGCTTCGTGGTAATCACCATTGCAGTCAATATGACTGACAGAAGCTGATGTGCTGGTCCGCATGTTGGAAGAGTCGGGTGGCTACTGGCCGGTGGCTCCATATCGGATGATAGAGATCGAATTCGCCTGCTAGGATAAGATTTGTTTGTAGTTTTATCCGACCGTTTAAATGTTCCTGAGCTCGGGCCCAGAATATAGCCTCTGTGGATCTCTCGACCCAGAGACCATTACGGACATCACAGGGGCTACAATGCTACAGGTGTATTCGATTATGAAACGATCTCGTGGGTGGACATGCAAAAAATGCCGACAAGGTCGGCTCCAATGTCGGCTGTTCCGGAAGGACAAACTGGCTGATTGGTTGACAACATCTCCATAATGGTGGTGGAATGTACTTTGACAGTGTCACTACCTAGGAGACTGCTGCTTATTTGCTTACAACCGATGCCTATGCGTGAGGGTACCAAAGGATAAAGAACAGTACACACGAGGGAACAGCTTTGGACCACATTGCTCTTTACGATGTTTCAGAGGGGCTCAACGATCCAGCGCAAACCGGTCCAGGAACTTGAACGTTTTCAGCCCCGTCCCTGATGCCGTCAACGAAATTGCTCGTTACCGACTCAGCCATATACACGCCGTCGCGCGATGGCGAGATGTCCAGGTTGCGGAGAGCCGAACTGCCGCTGCCTAGCGCATCCACGGGCTTGCCAAAGCGGAAACTGTCGACGAGAATCTGCAGCGGACGACCGGCTGGGAAGAGCGTCGCGGCGGACATGGCTAGCAGGCTGGTGAACGAGTTCGGGGCAAACAGACGCTCCACACCGGGAGCGACGACGACGGCATCGAACTGGATGGCGTCCGAGGTGGAGTAGGTTTGATTGACGCCTTTCACGAAGCGCTCAGCGACGGTGATAATGTCGACGTTTTCGGCGGCTCGCTGGGAGGTGAGACCTGACCCGACGGACAGCGAGTCCGGCACGTCGATGGAGGCGAGCACGGCGACCTTGAGGCCGTCCAGGCGCTGCAACTTGTGCCCGAAGGCACCAAGGTTGATGCTCTGGTTGTTATGGTAGAAGGTTGGGTCGGGGCCAGGCTCGGCGATGCCCACGGCGAGGGCGACACGGCGAGCCAGGTCGTTGTCGACACGATTCAGCTGCATAATCACGTTACTGCGGACAATCTCGCTCTTGACGTTGGCATTCTCGAAGCGCATGGCGTCGATCAGGAACTGCTTCTCGGCCGGCACGAGCGAGTTGTAGAAGAGGCGTGGCTGCGACCAGACGTCCTGGAATGTCGGGCTAACGGCGCGGATAGGAGCACCGCTAGGGTTGCGATGGGGCGCGGTGAAGAAGCCCTTGCCCACAGTCTGGTTGGCCTGCTTGGGAGAGTCGTTGTTGAGTGTGTTGGGAGTGTAGGCGTAAGGGTTTAACTGGATGTACATCTGGCCGGCCTCGTCGCGGTTGTTGTTGTGGATAGGTACGCGCGGCTGGTTGATGGGCAGCTGCTCGAAGTTAGGGCCGTTGTGCCTGTTCAGCTGGGTGTCAAGGTACGAGAAAAGACGGCCCTGAAGGAGAGGATCCTCGGTGAAGTCGATCTCGCGCACGGCGTGGCCGGGTTGGAACTGTCAGTGTAGGATACAAATTAGCAGACGAAGTCAAGGAAAAAAGTGGAAAGCCAACGCATACCATCACTTGTTCGGTCTCGGCAATGTAGTTGCGAGGGTTGCGGTTGAGCGTCATCTTGCCAAGGGGAGTAACGGGTACCAGCTCCTCAGGGACGATCGTGGTAGGGTCGAAGAGATCAAAGCCAAAGCGCAGCTGATCCTCCTCTTCCATGATTTGGACACCGAGCTGGTTCGTCAGTATCGAGTGGAGGGGGTGGAGGATAAAGTACGACATACCTCCCACTCAGGGAACCGTCCAGCCTCGATCGAATCGTACAAATCTTCCCGCATGTAGTCGGCGTTCTTGCCCGACACCTGCTGGGCCTCCCAAACCATACTGGCCTTGCCGATCAGCGTCTTCCAGTGGAACTTGACCAGCTTGGAGGAGCCATCGTCCGTCACCAGGCGGAACGTATGGACGCCGTACCCGTCGATGTGACGGAATGACCGCGGAATGCCATGGCCGGCCATGGCCCAGAAGAGCGTGTGCATCGTGCTGGGTTGACGGCTGAAAAAGTCCCACGCGGTAGTCGTGAGCAGTGGCGGCCTGGGGGATTTCATTGTCGCCTCGGGGCTTGACAGCGTGAATCAGATCGGGGAAGAGAATGGCATCATGGATGAAGAAAACGGGGATGTTGTTGCCGACAATATCTGGAAGGTGAGCGTGGTGCTATCATATCGAAACAGGGACCAGAAACATACCGAAGTTACCCTCATCAGTATAGAAACGGATCGCAAAGCCGTGAACATCACGCGCCAGATCCGAGCTACCGCGCCTACCAGCGACGGTGGAGAAACGTACAAACACCAGGGTTTCCTTATCCTTGACCGATAAGAAGGAAACAGCAGTGATGTTGGAGAAGTCGCCGTAGGAGGTGAAGACCCCGTGGGCACCAGTACCACGGGCATGTACAGCACGTTCCGGAACCTCTAAGGACCAACTCAGACCCAGTCTCAGCAGGATTATTCGTTGGAAGGGAAATACCCGTTCATGATCGAACCGCTGGATCTTCTGACGGAAGATGAAGTCCTCCAGCAGGGTCGGACCGCGCTCACCCACGGAAAGACTGTTTTGGTCCTCAATCTGGCCACCGACATCAGTGGTCAAGAAGGCACCACTGTCGTCCAGGTAGTAACGGGACATAAATTCCTCCGTGGCACCAGTGGTATGGTCATTATCGCGAGCATTCAATTCGCCCGTCATGTAAGGACAGGCCGCACTGGCAATGCCAATGAGGCCGATCAATAACACGGCGCGCATTATGACTGTATCAAATAGACAGGATCATAATAAGAAAGAAAGGGGGAGAAAAGAAAAGCAAGCAACGAAAGGAAGGCAAAATATCAGTGAGGGAGATGCACACCAGAGAGCAAACTTAAGAGATTGCACCAGATACTTGAATCGACCACAGCAAGGCAAGTAAAATTCATAGTCACCTTGCCTAACTTAGAGAGAAACATTTACTTATAATCCTAATGCAGATGGAAAAATACGCGGTTTAATTACTGGACTACCCAGACCAACAAAAAGTGCCACTGAGAAGGTTTCTTTTCCGCCTTAATTTCGTTGGCCCACCTCCCGCCTCCTCTCTGTCTACGCTGGTTATTCAATAAATCAATTCTATATGGTCAACGTGATGCGGTGGGCCTGTCTTCTGGTCCTTAGTGGAATTGTCTATCACTGCTTGCACGAGGCCATCACCACGCCATCACCACGCGGCCAGAGATTATATCATCCAGCAGTATCCATGGAATATCCATTCTTGGCAGGAAATGTCCAATTTTCGAAAGTCAAGGCGAAATCGTGTTTGGGGCTGTTATCGTATCAGGGTCATCACTAATCCGCGTATGCCGATGGGCTGTGCGGCGTCCAACCCGGCGTGCTTGGTAATAACTATCAGCGTGAAGCAGCAGCCGGCCCACAGCATCACAGTATTCGCAGAGTGGACCAGCAGCCTACGACTATTCATGGGATTAATGTTTAGTACTAGCGCCCCACTGGCTTCATCTTGGCAGAACAGGGAACAAGCAACTCTCCACGAAAACCGCTTCCAGCAGATTAGTGTCTGGTGACTGCTCTAGCCAATCACGATTGAATCCGGAGATGCACTTGGGGTTGAAAGTTGCACTCTCTGCCGGCGGCTCTCGCATAAAATCTGGAATCCCCGTAGCAGGATGATCCTGGGAATATAACACAGGGCATAAAACTTCTTAACCGGGAGTTATGCGTTCGGATGAACTAATTGTTAGCACTTGGATTGGGAATTACTCGCTGAGCGGAGAATCCTCAGAAATTCGATGGACCAGCCACCAGATTCTGACGCCACATTGACGTAGTGTGGACAACCATAACGCCACATTGATAAGCTTCAGCCCTGAATACGAGAGCTAATTTTAATCGCGGATACAACATTAGTCAAAAACCAATCTATCAATTAACTCCGTGCGTCCACGTTGGAATGCTCAGAAGTTACTCGGTTTCTGGTGGCTCACTAGATACGACAAATGAGGTTATTGGTCCCTTGGGACGCCTAGAGTGGGGGGCTTCTCGGCATGCCGAGAATAGATGTTCATATCTGCGGATCATCCGAAAAATTAGGAGTGTAGAGAGACCAGCCAGATCTTGGCGAGCGGTTGTGTCTGTTCCGACACTTGCACCAGCCGTTTCTTTGCCATATTGACGAGGAGCTGATCCGAATTTCTCAGCAACTTAGTTCGGACCTCTTGATTAAGATCTACATGGAGAGAATTCTGCGGATTGCAACTGGAATGGATCGTATGGATGTTAAAAAGACGGCATTTCAAATGACGGTAGGGGAGAGGTCATCTAGGAGCTGGTCGTTCAGCATTGACTAGTAGTGACGTGCCTCACGACTTTCATTTCTGCAACTGTGTTATCAAGTCGGGTGTGGACTTGCGCTTTCTTTCTGGGAAACAATGTAGACCATGTCCCAGCCAGCATGGCAACTAAGGCAATCTATCACAGCCAGCATCTCGTACTGTGAGTCCACCCGTTAGAACATCACGGTTGAAATCTGTACCTTACAGAAATATCGCCCTTGGCTTCCGTAGACTAACAGGACGGTCGCCATGTGCCAGTCAAACCCAGCCTCCCATGACAATTATGACGATCATCAAGCCAAGTTAGCTTCACCAGATACCGGATGCAATTAGCAAGAGGTAAGAGCTAGCTCGAGTGAATTTTTTTTGGGCGGGGTTTTCAATAATCAGGTCTAGAATGTCGATTGCCTCTCGGTCATAGCGCGTTATTAAGAACGTGCTCTTGATATTGGAGCAGAATATTAGCTGCTCCCTGATAACGCCCGTTCAAGGAAAATAATATTGAGAAACCGGGCAAGGATAGATGGGGCACGTAAACACGAGGGCTAGAAAACTTACAGTGTGTTTCGGTCCCTAGTCTACGAAGGCTCTACGCCAGTCCACATGTTGCTCTTGACATTGTGGAAGGCAAACAAGCTTGGAAGCACCTAATAACACACATTTGGTGGCTTTCACAACCATTGCTAGTTCCACGTATGGAGGAAGCCAATGTCTCGCGCAACATTACGGACGGGACCAGAATTAGACTTAAAAGTGGAGTAGTGTCACTGTCGAAATGTAAGATCTAATATAGTAAATGCATGCTATAAATTGACCCTCCCTCACCCCTGGAGATCAGGCCGGGATGGTAGCTGGCCACGCTTCAATCATTTCTGATTACCTTTTGTTCTTTCCATTTCCTTACCGAGCCAACATGAGTCCAATATTGGGGGAGACTGTAGTTCAGGGTAGGTTGTATGTATAAGTATATTACAAGTGGCACTTAGGTATTCCTGTGACTAGGTAGAATACATACCGGGGGAGAAGTACGGTTGTATACTAGCTTGGACGTTTTGTATGAGATTTTCGTCTATTACCGTCTTATTTCCTGGAATGGGTTAAGATCGAATACCTCAACTACTGCTAATCTAAAATTCGTCGCTACCGTATTGCTCTACCTTGAACTTTAAAAGTAGCATCACGATATGTCTCCAGGGCCTATGTATTGACAAAGCTCGTTCGGTGTTTTGTTACCGTCGTGGTTATAGAGCCTTATGAACTTTTCGTAGTAGGTAAAACGCGAGATGACAGCATCGCGAGAATTAGGGCCGCACTAAGCCACAGAACATGGCTGAAACTCCAATACTTCTCACTAGTAGTTCCCACTCCAATCCAGATTTTCAATCGACCCTCCCCAATTAACGCTGCTGGTCGGAAAGGGACCTATCAACTTCCCAAAGAGGGGGCATCTTTTCCCCTCACCAACCACCCGCGTCTAAATCGTCATTTAAAAATTGTTAACCTCGCTGAGTGACGTTAGTTCACCCTATCACTGAACCATGATAATTTTATTAACAACTGGCCCTTTCTGTTCTTGATATAAATTTCAATGAACGTTTAATTCCTGCATCTTGGCTCACATGGTTAGCCGACAGATGGGCCATCCGGTGGACTGGATTACGAGGGGTGTCCCCGTGTTTGCCGACCTTCCCTTGGTAGCCTTCCTCCGTCTCTTGAACAAGAGATATAATACGTGGAGGGAAGGGAAAGAGAAGAGAAGAAAAAGAAACGGAAAGAAGAGAATAGACAAAAAGAAATCATTATCTTTTTCTCCAACACAAGTGTGTGCCTGTGCCCCATGCTGATGGGGACTTCAGGTCTTGTCTGAGCTCTAGCCTACTGGATCGACATCGATTTCGCGTCTTCCGCCTTGCTCCAGTTGTCTCCGCAATCCTCCTACCCTTCTCCTCACCGTTCGGCCTTTTCATTATCTATTACTTAGAGTACTCGAGCCCCTTCCCTATCTATCCCACTTATTCCCGTCTGAGGCGGCTAACCCTTATCTGTTCACCTCTCATCTGGATCCTGGGTTGAAGGCCACAATCTCCCGTGAACTCCCTGGGAAGAAGCTCTCCTCTCATTGTTCTCGCCTCTTTTGTTTTGTACAATTCAGACTTTCTTTGCCTTGGCATCCTCCTTGACCTTCTATACCGATCTTCCATCCCGACAGGTCTCATGTCATCGCTTCTCCTTTGCGTGGGCATGGAAGACATTAAAATTCCCTCACCACCCGCCATCTTAGACCCTCAGCCGGCCATTTCCCCTACTAGTGAACTTTCTAGGCCTCTCAGATCTTCCACCACTAAGAAATCGGTATCAGGACAGACTGAAACAAATCCTTCCATTTCTGGAAGGCCTAAGCAATCAAAAAGCCGTCACGGTACGGTAGCGCTAGTTCTTTGAATCATTCAAGAAGAGATGGATCGGACGAGGGGGGAAAATTATAATAAAGAGGGAAGGTGGGGAGAGAGAAAAGAAAAGAGAAGAAAAATAAACAGAGGTCTATAAACACGCAATGCGCTGACGTTCTCCACTCTTTCACCATTCAGGTTGCATCACTTGTAAGGTGAAGCGGTTAAAATGCGACGAGTCAAAGCCAACCTGCTTACAGTGTAAGAATCGAAATGTGGAATGTGGAGGATACAAAAAGGACTTCAAGTGGCGCCCCTTCGAGGAAACTAACGTTGCGGGGAGGGTACCGACGGCGAAACTCAAAAAAGGTGCGCATCGCTTAGTCTGATGAGAATCACGAAGTAACTAATGAGGTGGTCCTATAGCCACCTCGTCTCCTCCTATCAGAAAAGCAAACCTAAGTATTTCAACTTCTTCTCCCACAAAGCACCCAGAAGCACAAGTAAAGGATCAAACGGCTGTTTCGCAGTCTGTCCCATCGGATACCAGTGATTTCGCCCAATCCCTTGTCCCTCAGTTAAGCGATCCCCCAAGTCAGTCGAACAAGCGTCGCGTTGCGCAGAAGAATCTCTCGTTCTGCGCAGACAGCCTGCTGGACAACACAGACTTGGGGCATATTGACGAGGACGTCTTTGTGCCACCTTTAGAAGAGATTGCGCCGCCAGATGAGTCTCCATGGCCATCGGATATCTCACTTCCCACCGCTGAGTTTGATACAAGCCCTGGGGAAATCACCCTCGCGATCCTGGGGAAAGAGACTGTCCACAAGTCCGACGATTTTAGCTTCGCTGCCCTGCTAGAAGGCGATACTGAAGATATAGAAGCGACCGTTCGACAGCCCGACCCAAGTGTGAGCCCAAGCCTGTTCCAGTTTTTGGGAACCAGTGTGTCTCCACGGTCAGGAAATACAGACATCAGCCTTGGTCTATTCAAAGAGCCTACCATATCTGCTGGCAGTCCTGAAAGGTT